CTCGGCTTTAGGAAAATATCACATTTATCTGTGGATTTTCAAAGGCTCCAGTGTATTAATTTAATATATATACCTGAATATTAAGATGAAAGCAATTTTCCATTAACTGCCAGTGGCCTCATTTGTTACACTCAGCCCTAGAGGGCCTCGAACCTCTGACTAGTCTTACACGGTCTGCAACAATTTACCTCATGGGTTTTTTGTTTTCTTGAAAGTTGACTGATTTTCTCTCCAGTTGGTACTTCTGTAACTACATTTCTATTCTTTTTTTACTTTGTGGGTTTTTTTGGTCGTTGTTATTGCAGGTACATCTATAGCTCTGTTTTCAGTCTTATTGGTCCATTTGACTTTGCATACTTCCTGGTGTGATGCTATAGGACTGTGAACCACAAGGTCAGGAGTTCAAACCCAGCAGCTGCTCCAAGGATACCTTTTGCAGGGTCGCTATGACTCAGAACCAACTTGACTTGATGGCACTTAACAAGAACAACAATGTCTGGGTCAAGTCAAGGTGATTGTTATGTGATGTTAGTTTCAGGTTGTTGTCTGTTGTTAGGGGTTTTCTGTTCAAAAAAACTCCCTGTAATATTTTTTATGAGGTTGCTCTGGTTCTTACAGTTTGTTTTGATTTTGGTGTGTCTGAAAGTTACCTAATTCTGCCATGGTATTTGGTGGACTGTTTTTGCTGGATATAGGATTCTTCGTTGGTAGTTGTTTTCTTTCAGGTATTTTTTAATATATCGTCATTACATTGTCTTTTTCCCTGCATGGTTTCTGTTGAGAAATCACAGCCTAATCTCATTAGTTCTCTTTTGTAGGTAACTTTTCATTTTTATTTTAACTCCTTTACAACTTCAATCTTTTCTCTATTTATCCTGATGTTGCTTACTGGTTCAGTTAGTTGTGAGGATGTTGGTTTTCTTTATGGTGGGGTGTCATCTGTATTAAAGACAACTAAATCTGCGTCATGAGGACAGAGGCTGGGATATGAAAGCTGATTAGTGTTTCCCCCAAGTGACAGGGAGACAGAAACGTTTCTATTAATGCTCAGGAACCACTGAGGTTATATTCACAGCAGAAGACTGACTTGGAAACCAGGGTGAGAATGGTTGTTCAAGTCAAAGAACATCTTCAATGTCCCTGAATTGTGAATGTAAACATCGTTGAGAAGACATAGGTGTTGTTATGTATATTTCCATTTCAGTACATTAAACAACAACAACTCAATGGATCACGGCACAACAGGGTCTGATCTAGAGCTGGAACACGGACCACCTAGGATTGGAAAATGCTCAAAAGAAATGATGGTCTCAAGAAGGCAGATGATCTGTGAGCGGTCAGAGCTTACTTCTTTTGTACCTGGGGTCTCCATGAATCAGAGCAGACTTACTGGCACCTAAGAACACCACCAGCTCTGAGAGACGCACGGAAAAAAGCTGGTAAACTGGAATGTTTTGTCAGGGGAAGGCAATCGACGGTGTGAAGAGACAATGTTGCTGATGCTCTCAGAGACACCTGGAGAAGTCTCAAGTGCAGTGAGCTCACAATGGGGGAGCCAGACAGAGGACTCCTGGAGGTGCCAGACCTGCCCCAGCATGCCCCTGAACTTTTCACTGATTTTGAAATCAAGCTGCTGTGGGTTGACTGGGAAAGTCTGAGTCCACAGATGATGTAAAGAAAAGAGGCACAATCCCACTTCTCTGTTCACAAGCTTCCTGTTAGAACTGCTAAAGAGTGAGGGTCTTCCCAGAGAGGAACGTATAAACTTGGGGCCTGATTGGGATTAGACCTTGGGGTACAGTGAGAAAGAACCAGTAGGATGTGCATACTTAAGTGTATATTGTTATGCCCAGAATTCGGGGTCCCCAAAGACCACCCAAGGAGCTGACACCAAAGTAAATACATAAGGGTTGTTTATTCAAGCTCGAGCCAGGTCTCTAACTGAATCTGACACAGCGGCTTTGGGAAAGAGCCCAGAACACTTTGTCTGCAGGGATTTTATAAAGTTTTCAAACAGCTCAGGTTTCTCAGCTTTACAATCTTTGGATTGGTTAACAATTGGTAAACTATGAGATGTTACAGTTTAATTGGTCAGGACTGGTGGTCTTTGTTCTTAGGCTAGGGTAAAGGAAAACATCTGGCCTCTGGCCTTGAGCTGCCTGGCTATATATCATTTTCTTGGAGCTAGAGGACGTGCTAAAGCTTATATATGAAATGGATTCTTCTCTTTGACCCTACATTCCCCCCTCTACAAGAAACTTTTAAAGGCCCAATCATGTGACTTAGGGGGTTAGTTCAATGTTCTGCCAGGTCTTCTCTGACTTTGGCTATAGATTCTTTGACAACTCCTGAATGATTTATATAGAAACAATACTCTTTTCTTAGTGCAGTATAGAGTCTTCCGTGTTGTAAGAAGATTAGGTCTAGGCCTTTCTTATTCTTTAATACTACTTCTACTAAGGAAGTCAAGGACTCTTGCAGATGAGGGATTGAGTCTTCTAGTCTTTCAATACCTATGTCTATAGCTGCTTTCAAAACGCTGTAGTGCTGCTCTTGCAGAACTAGGAGGAAACACCTGTTCCGACACTGCCTAACTCTAATCTTAGAGGTACTGTCAATGTAGGGGCAGGTATGGGCTCATGTTTAACTCTAACAAGGTTGTAGCTGAAACACATGAGGACATCTTCTTCAGAATGATAAATTAATCTGGGGATTAACTGAACCAAGACACAAAAGCTTCTCTTATGCACGCAGGGAGTTCTTGCAGAGCAAGCCTACTACTTATTAGAGGGAGGTATATATATTTACTAATTACAGTTAAACATTTTCTCACTTCATAGAGGGCAAAAGGGGAGAAGAGCTACTCAGATACTGCCAGTCTCCAAGGTTAATTTAGTTAAGGTCTCTTTTAGGGTTCTATTAATCTTATCTACTTGACCTGAACTCGGGGGTCTGTATACACAATGTAATTTCCAATCGGCCCCCAGTACTTTAGCTGAACTCTGACTTACTTTGGAAATGAAGGCGGGTCTATAAAGACTAACAGGTACTTGTAACTATATTTTCTGGGGTTTACTTCTGAAAAGTCTAATTCTCAGCAGGCACCCAGTTTATTTCTTTTCTCATCTTGCAGCCTGTAAGGTTAGCTTTAGTTCTAGCTGCATTGGTGAGCTGGCACGCTTTACAGGTGGCAACAATGTGCTTAATCTTGGAGTTAGCATTATGAATTTTGATCTCTGCTTCTCTCAAGAGGTCTTGCATTTCACAAATGCTCATGTGAGTGGACTAATGCATTTCTTCTCTATGAGGTGTCACGGTCAGATGTTTGATCTAGTCTAGGTCGGCCTTGGTGTAAGGCTGGTCCTCAGGCAAGGCGGTGTCTCCTGTGTCCGGCAACTGAGTCACTAGGGCTACGTTGGCTTTTAAGCAATTTTCTATGGCCCTCTGGTCGGCTAAGTTGTTGCCTCTGGCAACAGGCGTGTTCTCTTGTTTACTTCACGGAGGTCTTGCACGGGCCGGCAGTCAATAGAGAGGGGTATATGTACTGGCAACAAGGGGGTGTTCTAGGATGGTTGGCACAGCTTAGGAAATGTTACTAGCCACTAGTCAACGTCAGGGTTCAGCTGTGCCAGCCTTTGGTGTAGCTGATATTCTTCTTCCAGATTCACAGTCCACACCTGAATGAGCTCTCTTCTACTTTCAGGGTCACTCTAGGCTCAGGAGGGACACTGAACTCTATTTCTCTTAGTCACTCTATTTATCAACAGCCAGGATGGGAGTTTTTGGTTTATTCTCTGGACTTTTCTTGGATCACTCTCTGGCTCAGTGGCTTCTTTCTTCACAGTAAGCTCTCTGATTTTTCTCTAGCCAGGATTTCTCTGCGCTCACTCTTACTTCGCCTGTCTCTTGCAGTTCTCTTGGCTTTACTGCAGTAGTGGCTAGCAAGACTCAAGCTAGATTCTGAGTCTGGTGACTTTTTGACTTTACTTGTTTTTCTTCTGCAATTTCTCTATGGTTATACACTTTCTCAGCTATTATTACTAAATCTTGGATACTTTCTATAACTTCTTTCTAACCTCAGGAGCTGTCTGATTAACAGCTGCTTTAATCTCAGTTGCTTCTGGATCTATATGAGTATACTTGTGGAAGGCTTCCTGAATCTTTTCTAAAAATGCAGCAGGGCTCTCATCTGGCTTTTGCTGCACATTTCCTACTTTGGCCAAATTAGTGGGCTTTTTGCAGCCACTTTTAGACCTCCGAACAGAGCCTGGCAGTACGTCTGGAGTCTCTCCTTACCTTCTGTCATGTTGAAATTCCAGTCTAATTGGGACAACGGGAGAAAGGTTCTAATGATGTCAGCATTTGTGGTGAGTTGCTTATTATTACGAGGAACTAATTTCCTGTCCTCTGTCTGGATTCTTTCTCGCTCTTCTGTGGTGAGCTGACAATAATTCTAAAGTCATTTTAACTTTCTAAGTCTTAAACTTTACACTTCTAAACATCTTCTAAACAAAATCAACTCTTCTACTATTTGCCATCTTTTTTTACTTACATACTAGACTCTGCCTACATGCCTCTCAACTAGCCTGTCATTGGGGTTGTTAACAGGTTACATCTTACTCTTTCTTCTCAATTCATCATGCCTTTTTCCTTCAACTTCTCTTCACTGCCTCACATTCTGGACTTTGTATCTTCTTTCCTTCTCTGATCTACACTCTACAATCTGACTTGAATACTCTAATGCCATCGATTTACTTTCTGAGGTCTATCCTGGTTCCCAGTTTGGAAACTTCTGATTTTGCCTTCTCTTTTCTTTTCGTATTCCAACTTATATTAAACTCTTTGAACACAGCCTCTCAGGGAGGTTCTTCTTGTAATTCTTTTCTAATTTTTGTGTTTAGTCTATAAACTTAACCTTGCACTTGATGCAAAGAAGCTCAGCCTTATTCTCAACTCTGCAGAGAGCAATCTCTCTTTTGCTTGGTGTTCTGGTCTGCCTCTCTTTTTTTCTTTCTTTTTTTCATCTATTTTTATAATGCTTTCTTCCAATAGTGTCTTCAATCTCATTTGACATTTCTTTCAGCACAGACACTCAGCCTGGTACTATCTTCTAACACTTACACAGCCCATCTACCTTTGTAATCTACAATCCTTTCTCTCTTTGCCTTACTCTTCAAGTGTCTCTCAGCTACTTTCTGTAAATCACTCAGATGAATTGAATAGTCTTGTCTAGGATCTTCTCTCTTCCTGATCTTTCTTCTATGCTGCTCAACAAAATACAGTCTGATTTTCTTCAGATATATTGTATTGCATTTACACTCTCATCTCTTTCTCTTGGAACTAGCACTTTGGTTTAGGACTTTTCACACTTGACTGTGAGTCTTGATCAGTAGTCATCATTCTAGCTACCTTTTCAGCTACATCTACTTGCTCGCTGTTAACCCTGTCTTCAGTACTTCTCTCCCATCCCTAACTGTCTTGTCTGATGCTTTCATATCCCTAAACTCAGAAACACTATCTACTCACGCTTCTAATCTCTCTATTGTCTTCTTCTTCTTCTTCTTTTTTTAATTGTGCCTTCTAATGACTTCTCTCACCCCTGGGAAAAGAAGTAGAAACTTCTCCTGCTGGGTGATAGAATGGTACCAGTGAAATGATATTCACATGTTGGTATAGAATCAGGCAACATTGTGTCACTATTTTGGCTGCACCTCACTTTTAACTCTCTGGAGGATTGCTGCCAACATGTAAAAATTACTACCACTGTTCCTATGAACACTAAATACTAATTACGGGCTGGAGGTGGATACACCAGTGTGGAGAGAGCCAGCCTCCCAGGACACCAGGAGATTCTCTCAGCAACCTTGAGCCTCATCAGGAGCGTGAGTGGGCCCTAAGGTGCCTGGGGCGTGGGGTGAAGGCCTGGAGAACACTCACGCTCTGAGATGCCTGCCCTGCCGTCCAATGGGGGGCAGACTCTACCGGCTGTTGGGGGCCACATGGGAGGCTTCCTTGTAAATCAGATATTCATAAACTACATGAATTTTTTTGACTACATCAAAGACAACACAATAAAGTTTTTCACAAGAACAACAGGGCACCAACATCACATTGGCTCTTGGAGCTTCTTCAAAGCACATGCAGGCAAAGACCCAGGGAGTAAATTGGAAGTCTCACCAAAGTTTCAGGGAGGAAGGTGTATTAGGAAGTTCTCAGCATTCACAAGATAAGGATATAGCCTGAACAGGCCTGAGCCACATGGGCAAGGTTTGGCATCGAAGGCAAGGTGTAGGAGAGAACATTGCTAAGACCTGTACCTACCTAGCTAGTCCTAAACTGCTTCCATGTTGGTGGATAGCTTCTCTAGCCATGAGAACACAACTTTTTTCCTTCAGCTCCAAGATCTACCCCCACAGTGGAACCTGGTCTTGGTCTGTGTCCTTGCCTTCTGCCTCAGAGGGCTGTAGTTAAGATACCAAAAAACAGTCCTAGTGCCCAGATCAAAGGACAGGACACAGGTAGACTCAGGACTTACTCTTAAGATTATAAGGCAAAGGAACCCTATCCTGACCCTATACACACACACATACATACAGGGCCTAGTGGTCATTAACTGGCCTCTGTGCCATTTCCACTAGCTCAGTATTGAGTAAATTATGTGGCAACTGGTCAGAAATGATACTTTTCAACTTTTCAAATGATTCCTGGGTCTTAGATCTCACTAAAA